GCCTTGCTCCTTTGCTAAGTACAAGGCCAAGCTCTTACTCTTTCTTAAACAAATCTGAATGCACTGGAACCAGTATGTTTCACTGTGCAGCAGTGGCAAAATGGAAGGACCCTAGAAACAAGTATTATTTCAAACTGTAGGGATTCTTGTTTTGTTTCTGAGTGAGAATGCCTTTGGAGAGAATGTGCCCTTGTCTATGCCTTATCCACCCATTTTTCTTATGCTTAAATCCCTCATTCTTGTATGGAGAGAAGATGTAATGAGACACTTGCTGGAGATGGTAGAGAAGGAGAATTCTGTTCTTGATGGATTCACAGCTACTTAACAAAGATTGCACATAGGGGCCCCATAAAGTTTTTATTCTCACCCTGTTCTCACAAAAGACTTCTACAGACTGCTTTTTTTTAAAAAAAAGGGCATTAATAAATTATGCCCACTCTTTTGGAATTATTGCCCACTAGGCAGGTTTCTGATTCTGTGAAGAAAAATGTTGTTCATGTCAGGAAATAAATGCAAAGTAAATGTCTGAACTGCTGGCTTCTGAAGCCTCTTACAGTAAGAGATCAATACATTTGGATGTGCACGATGTTTGGAAAGGATGGAAAGCCTGAAAGCATTACAAAACCTGACAAATGAATATTCCTTTTTGTGTCAATTGTAAAACAATACTTTAAAAATGGATAATTTATTGCTGCTGGAGGTACCATACCCTGCAGTCTATGAGTTATAAAAAGTTATAAAGGGTTTATAAAAGTTTACTTTGAAAAAACTAAATATTTTAATTTTCATATTTGGGACAAATTCAATTTTGTATCATTAATTCTCCAGTAGCTTTCATTTACAAAGTACTATTCACATCTGGTCTTATTCAAGCAATAGTAATGTTATCTTGAAACACATGTTGTACATGACTCCAAAAGTGCAAGAGCTTTTTTATGTAAGAAATTTGGTACTATATCTAATCTGTGACAGGTTTTGAGATCTTTCAAGACAGTACGGTAAATTTACTCTTTCACTTCCTGTCTGATGACTTATGAATACAGGTCAGAAATATGATGTTATCACTTTACACAGATGGATTATAACCAGTAACTTATTTTTCCTTAGTTCCAAAGACAGAGAATGTTGAAGATGCTGCAGCCTTTAACATAAACTTAATCAAGTACCCTTGTAATGATTTCCGAAAACCAAGCACAGAAATAAAGATCAATAGGAAAGCTGCATTTGGAACTACAACTCTTGTCTTAACAGATCTTGGTAACAAAGCTGTTTTGAGAAATGATTCCCAAATATCTGATGGACGCTCTCAGTGTGTTACTCCAAAAAGCAATTGTAAACAAATCCAAAACAATGTCTACCAGTCAGGAGGATGCACAGACAAGGACTGCTCAACACACGTAACTGCTGTGGCTTTGTCCTCTCAGCAACCTCTGTCTTTCAAACACGTACAGAAGAAAATGAAAACTGATAATCTACCCTCTATTCACCAATATAATCTAGCAATCAGGTATGTATTCTAAAATGTAAACAAGTCTTTTTTTATAATCCCATAAACCAACTTTATTCCTCAAGATTAATGAAATACTGTGCTGTTGGGTTCAGACCCTGTTGTCTTTGGATTTCTGCCAGAGGTGACTTATTCTTGAGTAACTAAAATTACAAAGAGATTTCAAAAGCACTGAGTGACCTAGGCTATCAGTCAAAGTCCCGATTTTGGCATCTGGACAATACTGCTGTTAATAGCTATCCACAGTTAAGCTATTCCCACGGAATAAATAGGACAGTATAGCTCTAACAGGCCAACGAGCACAGTCCTGTCTAAGGAGTTGTCTGAACTAAGCACTGCAGTTGCTATCAGCTTAAAGAGATCTTGAAGTCATTGTGAAAGACAAGACAACAAAAGGAAAGAAATGTATTCTAATTAAAGTTATTTGTCAATTAGCATTTTTCTATGATCTTCCATGATATGAAGTTCTGTACAGGTATCTTGATGAACCTCCCATCACTATCTTCTCTTAATGTTCCTTCTCATCCTATATGTAACTACTTCAGCAATCTACCCATCCTGAATTTTTATTTATACAGCCCTATTCAGATACATCCATTTTCTGGTGAAGAAAAATGTGAGAATCTATTAGGTTTGTCAAGGAAAGGTTGGGCAGACATTCACAACAGTAATGGGAATGCAAGGTAGATGTCACTTACAGTGGCAAATTATGCAGAGTAAATGTGAAATATTAATAATATGCTACAAAATTCTTGGTCATGTGTCTATTCTGAAGTATAGAAATTATTTCTTGCATTGTGGAAGCACCAGCTTCGAAGGAGGATCTCACTGGCTAGTCAGGTTAGGCTGTATGGATATATTTTTCCTTGCTGTCTCAGTATAGGACTACAGAGAACTGAGGATGTAGGCAGGATAATTGAGAATAGAGGAGTGTAAAGAAGAAATGAGACAGTATCAATCATGATAACTGGTAGTTATAGCAAGTCATCAACTTAAACATTTAACAACAACAAAAAAACAACAAAAACCAAAACCAAATTTCTTGCTGGATTTTTACTTTAGTTTTCATGAGGTGTTGGAAGAAAACTGCTGATGTCTACAGGACTGCAATCTTCTAAACAGTAAAAAGAACATAAAATTCCTATGCTGATAATAAGAATGAATTAATCTTTTTTTCACTATGGTTTCATCACTGCTTTTCTGCTCTGTAAATATATTAGAAAGGTCTATTTCAGAGTATGAATCTTTTTCATGTTACAATTTTCAAATAAAGCCTCCTGTATTGCTTTCACATAATCTCTATCACAATCATGAAGAAGAAACTTCATCCCATTCTGAAAATACTGTTCCACTCCCTCAGCTGGATTACTCCTTGTTCAAATATGATTTGGAGCATTACTGTAACTTTTTAGTAAAGAGGGTGGAAGACTTTTCTGTGAGGCATACAAATACCTTCAACATGGAGTAATTACTTGGTATTGGTCTTTTTCCTCACAAAGAGCAGAATATTCTTTTGGAATTTGGGGTGGACAGTATATAAACAATGGTAATATTTATTTTGTTTTACAGATTAACTTAAGAGTACTTTGAAATAATTTAAAACATGGGCTGATGCTGGAGAAAAATGGTATAATACCTGCCAGAAAAGCACCGAGTCTTGTCTAATCACTACAAGCAACAATTCAGGTTTAAAGGCATGATAGGGTGGTGCATTAGAGAAGAAAGTTTTCTGGCTGTCATTGTGTGTAAAAGTACACTGAGTAAGCTGTTGTAGTGGTAGGAGGGAGTTCTTTGCCTGTGGTGTAGGTAATCCCTTTAACATTACGCAGGAATAATTTTATAACCTGTTGTTACAGCAAACCGCAAGCTATTATGACAGATGATATTCGTGTGTTAAGCATGGGCCATCCTCGCTGCAGTAAACACAGCCGACTCTGCAGCCTCAGAGTTGTAAGAAAGGATGGAGAAAACAAGGGCAGGCAGTTTTATACCTGTCCTCTACCCAGAGAAACTCGGTGTGACTACTTCCAAGTATGTATCGAAGACTTCAGAGCCTGTTTTTTAATAAGCACTTGTTCCTGCAGTCTCCTTGCCCCAGTAATCTGTAATTGTGGATAGATATTATCCATTTAAAGTTTGAGGTAATTTTAAATACTTTTTCACACTGAACTGAAACTTAAGAGCATAATAGTAGTTATAAACTTAGTTTCAGTTACTTCTCTTACTGCTTGGGCAAATGCTCATAATCTGCTTCTGTGTGATGCAAGACACATGCATAGCAAAAATATTGATTTGGAGGGATTTGTACAACTTGTTTAGTTCAGCCTCTTGCTTGAAGGAGGATTATGGCAAACTCTGGTTCCATGTATCAGGCATGCTTCTTTCTAGTCAAAATCCAGAAAACCTCCAAGGATGAAGATTCTGTAATCTGCTTGGGCAACTGCTCCTACTGCTGCACTAGTACCTAACCTGACCTCGCTGCAACTGGTGGCCATAGCAATGCTCCTTGCTATGGATGCTGTATGTGATTTGAGGAGAGTGTTGACTCACTCACCTAGTACCAGGTAGTTAACAGACAAACTCAAGATAGTATAATGCCTTAATTTGAAGAAAACTGTTAACATCAGAGTTATACCAGTAAAAGTGTGTGCAGCTGCAATAAATGTTAATGAAAATCTAAAATCAGTGATTACGAAAGAGATCAAACTATCTTAACTACTAGAAAGAGTTTTTGCTATGGTGTTCCCTGTAGATCTGTTTCTATTGCCAATTTTAAAATAAGGAATTTGTAGCCATCATATATGCTAAAACTGTCCCTAAAACCTGTTTCTTTTGGCAGTGGGCTGACTTGAATTTTCCATTTTGTAACCATGGCAAGCGATGTGTTATGAAGACTGTGTTGAAGATTGGTCCAAATAATGGAAAGAACTTTTTTGTGTGCTCTCTTGGGAAGGAAAAACAGTGTGACTTTTTCCAATGGGCAGAAAATGGGCCAGGTATGCAGGTTATTCCTTGATACTGATGTTCTTGTTATCTGCTCCTCAGATGTCTTAAGTTCATATAACTTTCCTAGTAACTTCTGTTTCATTTTTGTCTTTTTCTCTGTTCACTGGTTAATTAGTAAAATAGCTCCAACAATATAAAATAAAAAATAAAAACCTGCATATTTGATAAGAGTAATTTTAGATAGTCCTATAAAAATTAAACACTACTTGTATGCTGCATATTATTTTGAAATAAACATTAGCTTGCAATATATTGTGACATACTGTTGTATTTCTAATAAAAATTTGAACTGTTTTTTAATGTAAATGTCAAGTTTGACATCACTGCATACTTTCAAGCATATGTGATTTATAGAATGGATAACCTAATCTAAATTACTATTTTAAATTGGTAGACATTTTCATAAATGTAAATATGTATTTAATAAAGGTGAGTGAAAAGTCAATACTCGTTTTAATACTACTTCATGCTTTAATTCCTCAGAGCTTAAAATGAAACAACAATGGTCTAGCACACTTTGAATGTTACCATAGTTGAATGTGTGACATAGCTTCATAAATTATAACTTTTTAAAGAAAGTAATGGGAAGTAGCGTTGCTTCCCACCAAAAATGTGTGAGATGAAACACTTAAAATCTTCTTGTAAATGGTCCTTTGGTTCGTGTAAATACTGCAGAATTAAGTGTCATTTCTGAAAGCTAACTTTTTTTTTTTCCTGAGAGGAAAGACTACTTAATTTTACAGAGAAAGTTGTGGAACTTCAGTCCAATTTAAATCTTCTATGCCATGGTGCAAGTGAAACCAATTAATTCTTATCCTAACCAACCCAAATTCAGAGGCTTTTTTTCCTTCCTCTCTTCAATAGCCTTTGATACCTATGAAATCCTTTAAAACTTTCCTTATGCAAAGCAAATCTTTTCCAATCAGAATGTAGAAACTATAATCCTTCTGTTGCTCTATGGACTCTTTCCAAATAATATGTATATTTCATGAAGCCTGTTATTTAAAGGAGGGTATGGAACTCTACCTGAGAATAAAACAAGCTACCTTACATGGTGAAGCATGACTTTCCATTGCCATCTTTTTATATGATGCTTGTTACAATAAGAGCTAGCTTGTACTTAACAATTTTTAAGATTTAGATGTATAACTAGTTCCTCACATGTATGTGTAGAATTGATTACTGAGATAAAGTGTCTGATTATTTTTAAATTGTACATGATTTTGGATGTCTTGCACAAGGATAAATCTTCAATAGTTCAACTAAACATGAAAAATCAAAAAGAAATACAACCATTTTTGATCACTTGCCTTCAACAAATGTAAAATCTCACGGAAGCTGAAAGTTAAATTACTTTTTCAAATTTTGACACTTCAAAGGTAACAGTTGGGCTGTTAAGTCTTTTTTTATCTTAACAGCCAGACAAGATGTATCTCTTTACATATCACACATAGACATTTTAAAAGATTAACTGCCTTTATTAGCTACTGCAATCACCTTCCTTCTTCTGTTCTGTTTCTAAAACATGTAGTGTGGTTTTAAATATGGAAAATTATCCTGGAGAGTAAAACAGTGATGTAAAAAGTGCATCTATGCTCTGAGGATGCAAAATCTAAATTCTTTATTGAAATGAGTAGTATGTTCTTAAACTAAGGACTAAGCTAAGGAAAAGTTTTAAACTATTTTTGTCCTGATCACTGGTTCATCTATTGAACAAGTCATTTATCCTAAATTCTGCATAATTTAAAAGCATGAAAAATAAACTGTTAATAGGCTAGTATAGGCTAGCCAGTTAAAGTAACCAGAGTGGGCTGCAGATAAGCAGGTTGAACAGCTGTACTTCACTATTTACCAGTGAGATTGCAAAGCAGGGATTTCATGAAGTCTGTGTGTGTGAGATTGCAATAAAATGGGCATCTATGTCTCTCTAAAGATATTTCAGAATGGCTGCATCACTGATTGATATCACTGTTTTGGACAAACAATTATTTCAGGAAATGGATATTTATCTAGTAAGTTCAGGCAAGAGATACCATCTAGCAGATAAAATCTAAAGTGTTAGAAAGGAATTCTGAAATGTATAAAAGAAAATTTAAGAAGTTTAAATGGGAAATAAGACAGAAGCCATAGGACAAGGTATGGCTATTAAAGAAGTGCAACATGAAGTTTTGTTTATGTAGAAATGTTTCTTTTTGGAACAGAATTTTAAATCTAGAAATTAGATGGAACACACTTATTTCAGATTCATACCTGGCTTACACATTTCAAGGGCTTGTGTTACACACAGCCAATTGTGAATGCTAAAAAGAATAATGAAGCCTAAGTTGAAAGAGAACTGTCTGTCCCAAACATTTTCTGTCACTTATATTCCTTACGAAAGCCAATGTAAATAGCTTTTTAAAAATACAGACTTTTTTAAAGTCCTTAGGGTTCTGAGACAGAGTTGTTATTTTAACCTGTACCCAGACACAGTGAAGAGAAAAGGGAGTTATTGTCAGAGTGTACAGGAGACTGTTAGGACTGACAGGCTCACATAGGCTCCCTTGACTAGAAGCATTCTTAACAAGGTGGTGAAGGCAGTTCTGTAATAAAAAGGAGGCTTCCAGTAAAGCTGACTTCTAAGTACTCTTACTTACAATTTTTAGAGAGTGTTTTTAGGCATTAACATTAGAAAGCAACAGCATGACTCATAACAAAAACCTGCCTTTAACCTTATGCAGAAAACACACTTTCTTGTCTTACAAACCACAAAGCTAACCTCATAAAGCTCTCTGAACTGAGCTGAGATGCTACGTAAAACAGTTTTTAAAGGATCAAGTCAAGGTCACACAAGTTGTGAAGTGAAAATTTTAATCCAGAAAACACTAATGCCATACCAATTTTCTGCTTTATGGTGGCACTTTAGTAACTACTGCACTTTAAGTAAGCTTAGGCAGAGTATATCTTCCACTTTGAAAGTAACATTTATTTTCCAATTTGTGGCATTCCAATTAGTATCAACAGATTTTTATGCCTGATTTCATGCTCTTATTCCCTTATTTAAAGTACTTCTATAACCAGCTATTTGTTAAAAGACAGACAGGCATTTTTCTTAATCTATACATGCATAACTATTACTTCATGGCAATAGCATTCAGCAAATAGATTGGGTGCTGAAGCAATGGTCTTATATTAGTAATTCACTGAGGAAGAAATAAATTCACACCAAAAATATGCACTCAAATTTTGAGACCTGACTATATCACACCTATGTCTACACACCTGTACAATTATACATATACAACTATTTCTGCATCCACCTTTCTGTGTAAAATGGTGCTCATTTTTACTTGTTTTTCTGGAATGGAAAACAAGTAAGAATGTTTCCACTTGAGGGGGGAACGTGACTTTCAAAGAAGTGGAAGATGCCATCCTTAAATCTGTATGAATATTCATCATTAGTGGCTAAGTATCTTTCACATGGAATTGAAAAGTATTGCAAAGTAAGTCTTTCATGGACTTCACAGCACCTGTAGGCTCTCTTTTCTCTCTGAACAAAATCTCCAGAAGATTTAAAACTCTTTTCAAGATCTTTCTAGTACCTTTCTGCACTGTGTAATTTAACTTGGTGTAGCTACACTTGTATTGACATTTGCTGATGACAGCCAGAGTTCAGTGTCTAGCTATACTGCATGTCTGTGTTTATTCCTCTAATGCATGAAACATTGATTATTATGTCTGATTTTTACTTGAATATTCAAAACACATTCAAAATCCATTTATAATACTGTGGAAATATGCTATACTTTATTTTAGTGGAACAACAATATAAAATCTAATCTAAGGAAAGAACCCAATGAGAAAACTATTTTCCAGATAAAAGCTCATTAAAAATATAGGCACACTTGTGGGTAAGTAGAATTCAGAGTGTACACAGTATTATCTAAACATCGTCAGTGCTATAATTTTTTAACTTATTGAATTACTATTTCTATACAAGGTGCAGGTCCCTACAGAGTTCATATGCTTTATGATTTTTACTATAAAATCAACTTCAAACAACATAACTGTCTTCTAGCTATTAGTCACATGGTATGATCATACTGTGAAAAGATCCTAACAGTAGATGTCTTTTAATACTAAGGTTTCAGGTAAGACCTTAACAGAGAGTTGGCAGAGTAAAGCAAAGTCTTTCAGAAGGCACTGACGAGCAGCAGAGCACATCTCAATGATAGGATGAAACTGTGGAGTTAGGGACACTGAAGGGAAAAGTGAAGCAAGATTTCCTCTGTTTTGGCAGGAGAAGGCCCATTCAATGGGTTCAGCTACAGATGGAGCCAAAATTCAAGTCCTTCCTTCAGAAATCATGTATCTATGTGGTCTTTCACACCAAACTGTATTATCGCCATCTGTATTTTATATGAACTAAACAAATTAACTGCAATCTAAATGCTCTGTGCTCAGATTAAACAGGCTTTATACTCATATTATGAGTAAATCCAACTGCACATTTCAGGAGATTAAAAAGTGGCCTATGGATAAATTTTGTTGACAGGTCTGTGCTCCAGGCTGATTCCAGCCAGCTCCAAAAATACTTGAAGTGGGCCCTACCACAGCAGCTTGAACATCACACCTTTGGATAAGAACTCATCTGTATTCCACTAGTTTGTAGTTCTTTTAGAGGAAATCTGCATATACATCCTGCACTTTGCAGCAACATGAATAGGAGTTGCCCTCACATTTTGATCTTCAGATCCAGGAAGACAGAAGGGGTAGATGTTTATTGTTTCCTAGAAACAAAAAACATATTTCTGTATATTGCACTTTTGACAAAATCATACTCCTCAGCAGAATCTACATACGTCTTTAAATCTAGAAAGGATTACAGTAATAATCTAGCCTACCCTTCTGCAAAAAACAAGTGAATTTATTGTGGTCCTTTAATCCATTTAAGTGTATTAAAGTCCACTCGCCTTCCTCCAGATACACTTAATCTAGAAATTCTTCATGGCTATTTCCTTCAAACATAAC